GGTCCCTGGAGCGGGGAACTGGAGCGGGCCCGAGGAGCGCAGCCAGTTCACCGCCAGAAAGAAGAAAGGCAGATGTGAGCACAGATGCAGGCTGGGGAGTGAATGCGGCTGCTGATAAGAGCTTCTGAAAGCTAAGTGCTCTTTGAATAGCTTTTCTCTTCTGAGTGAAATATGAAGCAAGGCATTAGCACGGAGCACAGATGCGGAGAAGGCGTTTGAGGTTTAAAGAGAAAAGATAATGTATGAAATAGGGCATGCGGGTGATGTGTGATCCGATAGCCACACGAGTCTGCACATGCTCGCTTGGGTGTTGGCTTTGTCCTGGACATACCCAGGCTTTTTAACTGATCTGTTGAAGCCCCTAAAAGAGGCAATAAGAGCAGAGTAACCATGTGAAAATGACGTAGATGTTACCTGTGGTGTGATGTGTTCTGACTTACTGCAGTTGGGGCTTGTGGCCCTTCAGCTGGACTCTTAAGTTCTTTTTTTCATTCTTTTCATACCAGTTAAAAGCTATGAAAATAATGTTCCAGTCTGCTGTTAAAATCTTCATCTTGAGTGTCATTCATATTGCCCAGTGTGTCTTTGAAAATCTTAAAGCAGGCAACTTAAAGTTGTAGCAGTGTTTGAAATGGTCCGTGCTTTTTATGTATTCAGGGAGGTGTGCTTAATAATTGCAGACTCAAAACAGTTTTTTTGTTATAAAAGATTCTGTGTACACTTCATCACATAGAGTAGACTTAATTTGTTTGTTTGTTTTAATTAAAAAGAAGAGCCCTGGCCGGGTAGCTCAGTTGGTTAGAACATCAACCCGATGCGCCAAGGTTGTGGGTTCGATCTCCAGTCAGGGCACCTACAAGAATCAACTAATGATGCATCAATAAGCAGAAACAACAAATCAATGTTTCTTTCTCTGGCTCTATAAAAAAAATTTTTTTACTTAAAAAAAAGATATAATGGGATTGACTTGTACCAATTGGAAACCAAAAAATAAGGTCTAGTACAGCAGAGGAAAGACTGGAGGGCAGTCTTTGGTAGCAACAGAAATGGTGACCAGGCCCGGGTGGTAATAAGCAGGAGGAACAGGTTTGAGCTGAACTTCTGGATGGCAGCCAAGAGCGTTGGCGCGGGGCTCAGCCTTGGGGAAGGAAGGAAGTACAGTTTTTAAAGAAAGATTCAGCTCAAGGGTGATCAGCAAGGCAAGGTTATGGAAGGGCCTGGAGGAGAAGGGGCTTGTACCAAAGCAAGTGTGTGACACACACTTAAATCATTCTAGCTTTCACGTGGAGAGTGGGAAATGAACAGCCTGCAGCGGCCTGCAGCCGTCAGGGGTTAACTGGGAGCTGAGCCAGAACCCGAGTAGGGAGAGGGAAGCCTGGGCCGTGTTCTCTCTGTCTAGGCAGATGAGCTTGATTGGTCTGCTAGTGTTTGCCTCAGTGAAGTGCTCCTGCTAATCACAGTGATTTAAGTTACTTAATATGCCTCATTGATTTTTATTTCAACAGTTATATATTTTTATGTGTACAGAAAAAATATATTTAGCACATCAAAGCCATGATTTCAAAGATTGCATTGCTTATGATAAGAGTACAGCAGCTACTCAATTTTTTACCAGAAGTGAGCCAATTTAAAGACACACACTGAGCAAATAATAGAACAGGTATTGTTAAGATAGCAAAAATTGCAAGTGACTGAAGTTTGAAATAACTTGTCTACAGCATGGGTTGAGTGTTTATTTTAAGGAGAATATGATAGAAACCTAGTAGATATTCTATGAATACAACTTTTTTTTTTTCTTTTCATAGCTGGGCTTTGCAGATCTAAACCTGGCAGAGTTCGCTGGATCGGGAAATACCACTCGTCGCTGTTTACTGGAAGGCTATGATACCAAAAATACAAGACAGGATAATTCCATTCTTAAAGTAAGCACGGTTCAAGATTTGCATGTCAACACTTGAGATCCTCTGCTTTTAAATAAGCACAGGTATATACTGTCCAGGGCAAGATGGGAATCAATACTGAGACCCTAAGCTGAGCACGTCACTGAAATACTCGCCACCTACGGAGAAACTGCCCAAGTCACAGAAGCAGGAAAAAGTAACCGGGTTTCACCTTCACGGCCCGAAAGTGTTTCTCTGTGGTGCTGTGACCATTTGGGAATGATGCACATGACCACGGCCGCCTCAGGGCCCACTGGAGGAAGGAGCGTGATGGATGGATGCATACCGTCAGATGTTTATAGCCCCCAAAAGGTTACTCCCAGAGGTGGCCAGGTAGAAGTCACCGTGTCCTCTTGTAGCTAGTGAAGTGCTTATTTAAAGTTTCCAAACTTTGTTTCCAGTAAATATTTAGCTCCAAAGATGTAAAAATGCACCAAGTGGTGATAGTGCATCCATTCCTTGCACAAATTCAGCAGCTGTAAAGAAGGGAGGGATGTCATTGGGGTGGGGAGGCAGATGGTGAAAGAAGACGACCAGGGAGTTTGAAAAAGAACATGGTGCACACTTCTGTGCACATCAGATTGATTTTATGGCTTTATGGTTGTCTCTGTGTAACTGAAGATTCTCCAAAGCACTTGCATTCACCTCTGTGAAATAGGCAGGATGGGAGAGGTGGGCACAGGTATCTCCGCTCCGTAGAAGCTGAGACTCAGAAGGCGAAGAGTCTCGCTAAAGTGGTGGGTGGCAGAGCTGAGACCAGAATGCCTCCACGTGCTTTTACTTCCCTCTTTATCCCGCCTACATTCCATGATCTGTGATTATCATAACCTTAAAAATGCCCCTTGCTCCTTTGCCCCCGTCTCCCTCCATGGCTGTCCCCTGAGGAATCCCCAGCCCTAAGCAGACTCAGCTGCCCTCCCTGGGTCTGGGTCCCAGCTGCCCTCTCTGGGTCTGGGTCCCGGTGGTTGAACATTGCCGGAGGAATCACCAAGTCTAGCTGGTGTTATGACGTCACGCCCTCCACCATCAAGCGGTCATGCTCCGCTTCCTTTGTAAGCTTCCTTTCCCTGTTACCTTGGTTTTCTTTTTCTTATTTTTAAAATCATTTTTAATTGTTCAGTTACAGTGGACATACAATATTATACTGTTTTTAGGTGTAATCACCCCAGCGATTAGGCCTTGTATAACTTACTAAGCGATCATCCCAGTAAATCTCGCAGCATCTGGCCCCACGCCTCGTCACAATACTGTCGACTGATTCCCTGGGCTGCGCTCCACATCCCCAGGGCTATCCTGTAATGAGCAATTTGTACTTACACCCCCACCCCCCCATCCTCCCATCCCGATTCCCATCTGGCCACCGTCAAGGTGTTAAAAATTATTTGTACCCGATGTCTGTCTAGAGCAGCAGTTTATCGTTGGATGTAACCCAGCTTGGCCGTCATCCTGTCCGTCCTTTCTGGACAGGACGTAGGGAGCAGGCCGCCGTGGAGGGCGCGCCTTAGCAGAACGCGGGGCCCTCCTCTCAGGAGACCTTGCATAACCCCGGTCTTTCTCTTTCTTACGTTTAGGTTTTAATCAGCATGCAGCTGATGTCGGGTGACCCGTGTTTTAAAACGTAAGTCCATGCTCAGTAAGTGGGTTATTTATCTGAAAGTGTAATAGTGATGTATTTGTTTCAAGTTTTACATTCCTATTTTGTAGCGTTTGCAGGCTAATCCCAGTGAAGGGACAGTTCCTCTCCTGGGTGACTGGCCTGACCCTCATAGAAGTTGCTATTACCTATAGCCCAACGAACTCTCCACACCCCGGATTATTTAAGCTATAGGTCTTTTCTCATCTTCAATTTTGGGGTGAAATTACACAAATTAAATTTTTTTAATTTGACCTCTGTGGACTTAGTCATGTCTTCAACAAAAACCTAGTAAGCGTCTTACCATGTGCTAGGCTCTATTCTAGACATGACCAAGAGCAGGGAGAAAACAGGCCAGGTCCCTGATGCCTTGGAGCTTCTGTTCTGCAACAAACAACAAACTCACAAGTAAATATATAATGTAGAGACGGCAATGAGTTTATTACTGGCCCTTTCTCTGCCGTTTCCTCTCCCTGCTTATGAAACCCAAATACCGAAAAAGCTCAAAAATAGATCACCTTATGTTCTAAATTGTCTCCACAAGTACAGTTCTAACAATCTCAAGTTTATATTTATAAAGACTTTTATAATGTGTTAGAATAAACAGGCATTACCTCATCACGAGATACATAAAAATATTTCTTAGGAGAATCAAACCCCCAATATTTGTTTTTTCTCTGAATATCTGAAATTGTGCAATTTTCAGTGGGAAAAGGACAACTCTAGTATACATACTGAGTCGGGATGGAACAGGAAAATGTTTGAACTACTGATGCAAAGAGTAAATTTTTTATCAGGTGATATTTTAACATATATTAAATATGTAAAATCACAGTACTTTAGAGCTGAAAAGAATGTTGGAAGTTGTCTAGTTTAATGATTGTTTTTCCCCCAGAATATTTAGCTACAAAATGTTTTACTCAAATGTATTATGAATCCCAGTATATAACATTTTTCTATTGAGAGGAAAGACACAGATTTAAATAACTGCTGGAGTGCTTCATTCTACTGTTCTCTCAGCTTTTGTCTGTCTTTGAATTTTTCGTGATATAAAGTTTTTTTTAATGTACTAGAAAAACTAACAAGAGTAGAGCAAACCCTTAACATTCTCAGATTTAAATGCTAGTTTGTGTTGGAGCAGATCTAGGGATGAAGTGACCCTTTTGAGTAGCTAGCTAGGGCCCTGGAGCAGTCACACTCCAGAAGGAAGGAAATCACCATTTGTCAAAATCATTTCATGAACACGACTGCCTCCCTGTTTAATTCTTAAAACAACTCGAATCTGAGTATTATCCATATTTGTAAGTGAGGATATTGAGCCTCGGGGTCCCGGGATGCACCCGTTCATTCGGTACACGTGCATTCATTGCCTACCATGTGCTAACATTTACCAAATTGAATGAGACCAGCCGCTGCTCTGAAGGAGTCACTGGTCACACAGGAGAGACACACAGCGTGTGGTGTTACTGAGGCACAGAGGACAGAGGCCCTGCTACTTTCCTTGGAAGCCAGGAAAGTCGTCACTGAGGGGGGGGACACTGAGCTAAGTGTCCAGCGATGATTGGGCAATTCCGAAGCAGGGGAGGTGGGTAGAGACGTTCCGGGAAGAGAAGAGAGCATGCACAAGCGTGTGGCGCCGCTGTGGGGCGTGACTGCTGACAGGATGCCGCAGGTAGTGTTGTCACGGGAGGCTGTCACTTTTCACGGGCTCTTAACATTACTGTGAAACTAAAACCAAGCAGTCCCGTCTCTTTTGTTCCATAATTGAGCCATATTAAACAATCTCTGATAGGAGACATAAAAACATTTTCAGGACAAAAGGGTAATAGAATAAAAGCTGGCATGTGATGGGCACTCGGGGATTATTTTTTCAACGCGATGAGTCTAGGGCGCTGCCGAGTCCCTGTGAAGATTTTAGATTTTTCGTTTGCCTTAGTATCAGTCCCCGTGTTGATGGATTCTCTCCGTAATGCTTTGTGGCCTCGGCATCAGAGCAGTTAGTGCAGTGGCTGAAACTGCCAAGGGCTGGGATTCTCCGAGCTCGTTGAGACTGCAGACCAAGGGGTGCCAAACCCAAGGTATTGCTGTGGCCGTGAAGTCAGGCGGCAGGAAAGAGTGGAGCCAGAGGGAGACTGCTAGAGGGCGAAAGGGAACAGGGCTCGGCTGGGGGCTCAGAGGGCTGGGGAGCAGGTCTGAGAGGTGGAGGGATGGAGACACTGCAATCAGGCCATCTGTGAAAGGAAAGCCAGAGCAACTGGCCGGGAAAAGATAAGCCTGCAGACAGGCAGGCCTGAGTCACCACCCATGATTAATGACTGGCTTCGGACTCCATTCTTTGGAAGTATATATCTTTTACGTTCGTTCTGCTTACAGAAAATTGAATGCAGGTATTGGGTTTTTTCCACCAAGCTGTTTTACATTACAGCAGGTCCTGGGATGATATTGTTTTGTTATAACATTGATGAGATACTCTAGGGACTTAGCTCTTGTTTATATCATTTGGCCTATGGTACAATTGCACTTGTTTCCCTTAAAGTTCCCGAACCTATCAATGATGTTCAGTGAGGACTTACTGTTATTAAAAATACAGATTTTGGTAAATTTAGAGGTAGGTCTGGGCCAGACCGCCAAGGGCCTTGTATTGCCACCCTAAGGAGTCTGAGTTTTATCCCTAAGGAGCTGTGGAAGCCTTTAAACCGGAGAGTAACCTGTTTGTGTGCACATTTCAGAAGGACCACAGTGAGTAGCCTGGAAGAGAGGCAGGCAGCGGAGCTCGGAGACTCGTGCAGTCACCCAGGAAAGGGACAGCGGCCAGGCTGAGGTCGTTAGTGGAGATGGAGGAGAGAGAATGAATAGGAAAAGTGTGAAGGAGCCTCTGTGGGATTTGGAGGTTGATTGGGTATGGAGAAATGTGAGTAGGGAGGAGAGAGGCGGTGCCCAGGGTTCTAGCTGTGGTGCCCTCGTGGACTGTAGCGGCCTTCACAGGGATGTGGAGTCCAAGAAGAACACAGATTTGGGGAACGAGGGCGACTTCAGGCGGGGATATACTGACTTTGATGTACCTGCAGGACAAGTACTTAAAGATTTCCCAATAGGATGTGGAATTCTGGAAATTAGGAGATCCTGGGATATAACTCATCTATCAATAAAACAGGTTTAATGGCGATCTTAAGTGTCTGTATCCTCAGGACCTGAATCAGCTTCGTGATCCCTCCACCACCTTCCTGTTTCATCTCAGGTTACCAAGGGATAGTCTCTAGGAAAATGTGGTTTTCCTCTGGAAAATCAGCCTCTAAAGGTTAGGGATGTTTGTATTAAAAAAAATAAATAAATCCTGTTAGAACTCAGACTTGCGCCTCCCAGTTTCACAGCTTCCACATGGAGATTAGGAGCCTTGAATGAGCCAAGAAAAATATATCCATTACCCACTTCCAGAGGTTCCAGCCCAGAAAGCAAATCTAACTGGGGCTCTTTATAGACTCCCCCTGGGGCAGGCGATGAGAAAACCATGGACACTATTTAGCGAGTTAGCGGAGCTAACAAGGGGGCCTAGGCCGGAGGCAGGAGGTACCCTCTCCGACCTCTGACCGGACGGCCGGGGGCCGCCTCGCCTCCGCCGCCTCATGGGTGCTTCCCTGCCTGAGGTGCCAGCTGGCCGATGGAGCAGCCCCACTGATAGTGCTGGGGACACGCTGACAGAGCCCCCCTCTTTTCCCGACTCGCTTTCTGGCCTCACATTTTTGGTTGTGTAAAAGAATCCCACCCACCCCCCATGAATTTTAGTCAGGTTTTGAGGATGCTCGGACATTACTTGGTTTTTATTACTTTCACCCTTGAAGAGAGGATATTTCAGGCACCTTCCAGAGGCCGTGTGCCCATCACACAACCCGTCTCTCGCCCGTAAACCAAGTTCTGACCCTTAGAAATGCTTATTCCCAGGCCTCCTTCTACATCCATGTCTATACCGATTGCTGGTGAGTCCGAATCCCTGGAAGAAGATCGAAAAGGGGGAGAGACTCTCAAAATCCACCTCGGAATAACAGGTACGGCCGTGCAGCTCGCTGGGCTTTTCCTTGGTGAGATTCCCGTGGCCCCTCCGACATTTAAACTCTCCGGGTGTGCGACTTGAAGTGGGTCCGTTGAGTGTCAGTCATGCGGTCTGTGGTTACGCCAGGCCCCCTTTGTCTGCGGTGTGCGCTGACGCATCAACAGCCTAATGCTGCGGAGACACCCCCCCCCCAGCGTCGTATGTTCTCCCGACACACCCCAGGACACTGCAGGATTAGCACCCTGAATCCTTTGTGTGCCTTAACCTTCCCATTAGCTCCTCCTCGTATTTAAATATTCCGAATTCTTTCTCATATTGAAAAGCCAGGAACTCATCCATCAGCCCTACATCGCCTCTCCCCCCTGCTCTTCGGGGGGCTCTTGCTCTCGTTCCCCCTCATCTCTCACGCTTTTCATAGAAAACCCTTCATTAGCAGCCACCCGCTCATCTCCCTTCTCCCTTCAGTCGTGTCCACCCGTCCCCTGCGTGCCAGCTTTGCCAAACTGGCCCTGCTGTTCCCTGTGCTTGTCCCCAGCATTCCTCGACGCTGGTCAGGTCTCGGGGTGAAGCTCCTCCGTGAGGCCTTTGCCCCGTTAGCAGGTGGTGGTGCTTGTGCCCATTTCAGTACTTGCCCCATTCTGCTACAACCTCTCCCCCTTCTCCACTCGGAACATATATTTTGTCTTATCTATTTTGTCCCCATATATCTTCTACAGCATGGGGCACCTGACCCAATAAGAACTTAGTAAATATCTATCGAATGAATAAATTTTGTAAACCAGTAGGTAAATGGGCAAATTAAGGTCAGAGCCAACCCTGGGAGTAGAGTTAGTCCTGTATAACTTCCATATGAACCAACCCTTTGAGTTTGGGTTGTGTCGTCTCTGATCTGTGACGTTTAGGACCACATCCGGCAGGACGAGGGTGCTAATGTGGATGGTATCTTACCGTCTGTCCAGAAATGAGAGCCCTTTGCCGGAGGACCAGGTCGCTCCAGGGGCTCTTGTGTCTGATAGCGGTCGCTGCCATCATGACTGTGTTAATCAGTTGGCTTCCTTTTGCCTCTAAGTGAAAAACAGTTCTAGTTTCCAAATAGTTCACCCCAATGAAAACAACGGTCACCATTCTGCCTTCCGCGGGAGGAGCCCGGTCCTGGAAATATATAATCAGCAGCTGGAATATGTACATTATCAGGGAACCACTAGAAAGGGCTCTGACGCTTTTTTATCTGTACATTTACTTTGGAACTGAACACTGTAATCAGTTTCTGAAAAACGTTCACGCTTAATGCCACATTCCATGCTGTGTTGACTTAAAACAAAGACATTTGCCCAAATTGTAGCCTGGCACTAGCAACACTGATGTTAACATAGCTGAGTGCTCTTCAGTGTGCTGCTGTGATGGGTGTTTGGGAGCAGGATTTCCGTGAAAACCTGCAATTTTGTGAGAATTTGTAAGAATACATCTGACCCATTTTTTATGAGAAATACTAAGCAATAAAAACTGACAGTTTTATTTAAGGTAGAGTTCTGTTAAACCTATTTAAAATACTCTAGTTGTTCAGTAAGCTAAGGAATTAAACTTTTTTTCATTTTTTTGCAAGACAGTCGTTTCCATTGCACAGATTTAAAGGAATCTCTTTCACTCTGCAACTTGCTTTTCTCGAAAATGAACTTGGCAGTTTACAGTCTGCAGATTAGAACGCAGTTGACCGTTGACTTGTGGGCAGTGATAGTAACATGACATGATGACGTATTACAGATCTCTCGGCAAAGAGCGCCTCCGTTCCCGAAGAACTCGGTGCCTGTGGACATTCGAGGACATCGAGCCATGCGAGCCAGCAGTCAAAAGTATCAGGTCAGTGGAGGCCGAAAGTGAAGTCGAGCTCCTTAGACCTTTCTGGCGCCAAAGGGACTAGGAATGGCTACGGTGCAGGAGGAGGGGTTTGGCCGCAGTGTGTCTGGCATCCCGTCACATCCAGAGTCATCTTCTCTGACAGGGTACAGCTCGTGCCACTCCCGGTCATCCAGCTTCTCTGAGTTCTGCCACAGGAGAAACACGTCCGTGGGAAGTACGTCAACAGGCGTCGAGAGCATCCTAGAGCCATGCGATGAAACTGAGCAAAAAGTAGCTGAGCCAGATCTCGATACCGCTGATAAAGACGACACGGCTTCAGAAACGCTCACCAGGTATCCCTCTGGTCTCAGCTCAGTGCGGGGTGGGGGTGCGGGACAGGGCGCTTTGTTTTCACAACGCAAGAAAAAGGAGGGAATTTAAAAAAAATTATTTCCACAGGTGCCCAGTGAAACAAGATTCTGTAGAATCTCAGCTGAAGCGAGTTAATGACACCAGAGTGGATGCCGACGACATTGTGGAGAAAATACTACAGAGTCAAGACTTCAGCCTAGATTCCAGTGCGGAAGGTGCGTGGATGACCGTTCAGTACATGTAGGTGCAGGGGTCCAAGGCAGTGCGGCCCAGGGGCCAGCCCTGTTGCACATTTTGAAATAAATGTTATGCCCATAAAAATCTGAAGATAACTTTGTAGCTCATTTGTTTTCTAAGAATGGATATTAAATCCTTGGGAAAGGACTTTAAAAAGCTCAGTTTTAAAGAAAGCTCTTAGTGCACTGTTTCGATGGTGCGCCAATATCTACCATGTTTATATACGTGACGATGGATGTTTGCATCTGCGTTGTTATAACTGGACGTAAGGGCTTCCAGTCACTGTTGTAATTTGGAAGGTTGGGTGAACTTGGAATGACATCGAACAACAGCATCCTTCGCTCCCTCCCTAGCATTTCCACTGCAGCTGACAATTTACGTGCCGCCAGCTTGAAAGGTCGAATGACCCCTGCTGGTGCAAATGGAGCAGTTAACAGTGCACGTGGTTTCATCATCTAAGTGGTCGTAAAGAGAAATAATTACACCTCTCTTGTGGAAATTTGTAGGAAGAGCTGTTTGATTTCTTTAGTAAAGCTGAAATGTGAAGTATGAATTTGTTGCAATATGAATGTTGTCTGACAATAATAATTGTACCCACAACACATTTTAACCTGCAGAAGAAGGACTACGGCTCTTCGTGGGCCCCGGGGGAAGGACGACGTTTGGCAGTCATCACCTTCCCAACAGGTACGCGGTCCCCACAGGACCTCTTAGCGCCAAGAGTAGACTGACTTTTCCTTTTGAATGTCCGTGAGGAGGAGATGAAGGTCCCAAAGTTTGTAATAGGCTGAGGCCGGGAAACACAAATCTTAGTAGTTTCACGAGAAGAATTATAGCTCTTTGTGAGCCCTCAGTGTTTCTTATTCTGAGTGTGTTTGAAATTATGTTTTATATGTTTATTCGTTGATGTCCTTAGATGTATCTTTAGAATAGATTCGTAGAGGACCGGTAGAGCGTTGGGGAAGATGCAATATAAAAAGGACACTCAGAAAAGAGTTCTGCCCTGGTCGGTGTGGCTCAGTTAGTTGGAGCATCATGCCACCCCATACACCAGAAGGTAGCAGGTTCAATTCCCAGGTCAGGACACACACCAAGCAGGCTGTACCTCCCTAAAACTGAGGAAAGGGATAGTAGTTTTGGGGGTGTCATCAGCAGTCTGTCAAAGCAAACCAGTGAAGAAATAAACACCCCCTCAAGATCGTTTTCCCTGTAAGTCTTCATTACACGGATATAATTGACAGTGCAGACCGTGGACAGAGAAACTTCCTTATTGATCCAAAGTATTGCCTTCCGGGAAGTGCATTAAGACGCCACACTCCCAAAGCAGCTGAAACCTATTATGCATTCATTCTGCACAGTGAATATACCGGGTCAGTATACATTCTTGGGTGAGACTGACTTTAGGATTTACGTATAAACACGTTTGCCACAGTGTGTTGATAGGGTAAGAATCTGGAACCATTACTAGATTATTGTGGGAGTTAAGCATGAGAGGATCAGGGACTGGACTAATACAGTGTATTAATTATAAACATTAATATTTTAAGTATTCTCTCTCTGTGATGTATTTAAACCCAGTAGAAATCAAATCTAGTAGGAAATGCCTAATGCAGTCTCTCTTCGGAGCCAAGGTTAACAGGGACAATTTCAGACACCGCTGCTCAGAATTTTGAAGTTGTGTTTTTTTTTCCTACTGTTCAGAGTGGTGTCCGGAGCTTACGAACAAGTGGTGATCAAGCGCTAGAGGCCGGGCTGGCGAGCAGAAGCTTCCCTGTGGGTTTGAGACGTGGGCAGCTGAGCTGTCACGACTCTCCCTTCAAGCACTTCTGGCAAAATGAACCTGTTCATGCGTCCAGAGGAAAGCCAGCACTGCTTTTTCTCGGATGGTGCCCACCCCCATCCTCTCCCACACACAGGGAACATCGGAATGGTTGTGTCGGGGCCTCGAGTGTCCTGTGTGTCTGGAGGTCCCTGGCCTCCGTGGTCACCGCCCGTGATCATGAAAAGACTGTATTTGTTCAGCTTTTTTTTTGTTTTTTTTTGTTTTTTAAAACCTCCTGGTGAGGAAAACAGCACTGTGCACCTGGGTCTCATTTTACTGTAAAGTACAAAACCTGGAGTCAGGGTGCGTGATAGATTTGGGCTCTAATTACTCAATTTTAGGTTTGAGAGATAATAAATGAAGATAAAAACCCTATACATCCTGTCAAGATAGTTGTAATTCCTGGTAAGGAAATCTTGCATATTATACCACCTAGAGTATTGTACTAAGTCTGTTAATTCTTTTTGATACAGTAATTGATATAAAAGTGGGGGTGTTCATGCTTTGGGGAAAAGCTGTACTACAACTGAAACCTATAAAATGCTTAATGTAAATGTATCAGCCACAAGTTAAGTGTGTCTAAGTCTGAGCTACAGGAGTGGGTATAAAGCCACTATTAGGCCGTGTGTGTTGTTAGTATTGGATGCACTGCGGAACTCCTGCTAGCGCTCGGTGGGAGATTCCGGTGTTAGGCCATACTGAGCAGTGTCTGCCGGTCTCAGGAGCCAGAGTTTAGAACAGCTGGAGGAAAACGGATTTGATGAGCAGCAGAGCAGCCTTCCCTGTGAGTTCACACTTACCTGAAACTCAGAGGTATGCCAAGGAGGGCGTGGACGGGACCGGGACAGCCGCTTGGCCCGGACCTGGGGTCTTCTGTCTTAGCCTCTCCTCCCACCCCGTGATCAGATGCTGTGCTTTCTTCTTACTGCATCAGAGGCAAGAATAGGCTGGAACATACACCAGACAGAGCTTTTAAAGTGAGAATATCTGATCTGGATCCAGGGTAATGGCACAGCAGACAAACCTGAAGACTTTTTCTGGTTTTATGTGACAGTTTATGTGTGGAAAGATCTTAATTTTCTTGGAATCGCCCAGTCAGTAAAGAAAAATGTAAGATTCTATAAAACCAGAAATTCCCAGTCTTTACTTTTAAAACCACGTCCAAGTAACGCAATATGTTAGAATTACCCTGGTCTGTGTACTGTCATGTTGGCAAAATAAGGGGGGGAATATTATTTTTAAGAAAATATTATTTTAATATCCAAATGGAGAGGTTGGAGAGACTTTGAATAGTTCACGTTAGGGTTTTTGTGGGGGATTTTAAAATTTCAAGGATTGGGTATTCCAAACGAATCCAAAACTTTTACAAATAGACTGAGATTTTTTAAAGAGATGATACCCCAGTTTAGAATATTTTGAATGTCAAGAGATAGGGTTTTCTGAGTCCTTAAACTTTCTTCTTTAAAATTTGTTTTGAAGGGAAAAAAAAAAAAAAATGACCTGAAGATTTACGTCTAACCCAGGAAAATGTTACTTTAAGTGATAAATAAGTGAATGGTCCATTTATTGTATATTATGGGGGAGGGGGGAGAATCAAAGTTTTCAATAGAGATATGAAGATATTGTTTAGAGAGAGATTTATTATGACATGTTTTAAAAACCTATTTTTCTACTTTCAAAATATTATCCCTAGTCTGTATTTTTTATGGGGACTTCTGCAAATGATTTTGCAGTTTTGAAATGACAGCTAACAGCTGGATTGTAGGCAAGGTTCAGTGAGGACAGTCTTCAGATCGCTCAAAGGTGCTATATTCCAGCACCAGCCTCTCACTCAGCCTCGGCTGCCCTTGGCCAAAACCTTTATGCAAGACCGGCTCTCAGTATTTAAAAATGATACAGAATTACTTTCTAAAAACAAAATGTGGATTTTGAAAAGCACAAAAGTCATGCCTTTATAAATTTAGCAGCCACCAGATAACATCTTGACTTACATATGTGTAAATGTAAGACGTTTTAATAGATAGAAACATGAGGAAGAAAAGAGATGGCAGTGTCCTCTGTAGCCAGTGACGTCTGCATTCATTTTATTCTCGTTTGTGTCCCATCCACATACTTTGCAATCACATTTCCTTACAGTCCTTAAAAATATTTGTTCAAGGTTGCCTAAGTGTCTGCCTCCACTCCCAAGTTCTTCTTTTCTTGGAGCATGTCAGTCTGCTTACTCAATACCAAGTTTACTTTTGGTTTTGAGTTTAGAAAATCAGATTTGAAAAAGTAGACCTTAATACAGTGATTGCTAAATATTAAACTCAAATGTCAAATCCCCCAGTCTTGGAGAAATTGCACATCTGTGACGTTTTCTAACCCTATATGCCAGAGAAAACAATGAATGGTATTTTAAAGCTGAGTTTGTGATAAGAGTCTTAAATGCCTTGTGTGGGGGGGATCATAGAAGCAGCAGGTCATGAGGCCACTTCCTGTGACTCGTGCTGGTGACTGAGAGAGGATGTGAAAGGCAGCCAAGGACACAGAAGGCCCTGGGCCATCAGTTTACATGTTGCTGGTTGACTCCCCTTTGCGGTGGTGGTGAAGGTTCTGTATACAAACAACTAACATGGATTACTATTTATAATCTGACAAAGTCTTGACTAAGATTCTTAAAGTATCTACTAGCCCCGTCAAAATATATTCGGGCCTGGCTGGCATGGCTCAGTGGTTGAATGTTGACCGGTGAACCAGGAGATCACGGTTCGATTCCCAGTCAAGGCACACGATCCCCAGTAGGGGGCGAGCAGGAGGCAGCTGGTCGATAATTCTCATCATTGATGTTTCTTCTTCTCTGAAATCAATAAAAACTTTTAAAAAATAAATTAAAAAAAAAACATATTCGGATAGCAATGAGATTTAATAAATTGAAACATCAAGAAATAATTTTAGACTTTAAGATTTCCATGCTAACGGCCACTCCGCAAGCTCAGGCTGCCAGTATTGTTAATATTGAAGTACTCTGACGAGTTAGGCTTCCAGTGCGTGTAACAAGGCTCCGAAGAGACTGGGCTCACAGGATGGGGCTGTATTTTATTTCGGCAGGTCTTTCACTGGGACGGTTCAGAAATTCTACTGTCAGTTCTAGACGGTACGTCATGTGACTATAATCAGGTACTGTAGCTGTAGCTGATATGCCGCTTTTTACGTGTTGCCTTAGGTACTATGCATAATTTTAATAGCTGAGACGCTAAAGAATATGAAGTCTTAAAAATATAATGGAAGAAATATGCCTGTATTAACCCCGTTTTAAGACCGATCTAGATATAAGGCCTTATTACTCCCTTCTACGTGTGGCGTTTCATAAAATAATATACAGGATGGGGCAACAGTAGGTGTACAGTTGTCTATATGGAAAATAGTACAATAATTCATAAATAATGAGAAACTGTTTCGTGTACTCACAACTGTAAACCTACTGTTGCCCCATCCTGTATACACAGTGTATTTTAAACAGTTGTGTAGGTGGTTTCTAGCTCCTCTATATGACAAAACTGGCGGATTTTTTTCATTTACACAGGCTGTGTGCTCTGCATTTACAAATGTTTATGTTCATCTCATATATATATATATATATGTGTGTGTGTATATATATATATGTGAAAACTCTCTTGATATTCATTGACCAAATCCCATGCACAGGAAGACATTTCGGGTACATTGTGTTTTTTTGTGTTTTTTTTTTTTTGGAACTACATCTTATTTGGGAAATTACATCTACATCTTCGTTTTTATGCATTTATTTGTTGATACAGTTGTGAGTTGTCATGTAAATGTCCAGGTGAAAATCTGTATTGAAGTGATTCCATTAGTATTCTGTTCTGATACTTGGAGAATGACCTTCATTTTTATGTATTTCTTGGTTTTACCTGCACTACTCTAAATCCAGGAAATGTTCCTTTTTTTTTTTACAAAAACTAATTTTTTATTGTAAAGTATTTGTAATAATGTAAAAGTGAATCTTATACATGTCCAATAAAAATCGTATCTTAAAGTTTGGAATGTTGTTTATACTCCCAAATTTCAGTTGAGATTCTGTTGCTTGTCAAGGTCAGAAGCCAGAAGTGAAAGAACCAGTGTTAACTTTTCCCTGGGGGTTTCCCAGTGAAAGACACTTTACACCCCGAGGCAGCTCCTGCAGTGCCGGGTCATGGACCTGGAACGAGAGACCTGCGTCTGACCCGAACGCCCCTCTGGACCTGTTTTCTTTTTCATTTTTATATTGATATTAGAGAGAGAGGAAGGGAAAGGGGGGGAGAGAGAGAAACATCAATGTGTTCCCAGGCCCAGCTTCCTTGTTATGACTCAACGCCTAGTGTTTTTCTCTCTCTTTCTCCCTCCATCCCCCCTCCCTTCTTAAACCTTAATTTACCTGTTCCTGTTCTTATACCATTTACCAGGTAGCAGCACATATACGGAAATGAAATCTTTCTTCCCATCTGCATGAGAGGAAATCTTTGGTGGAGTCAATCCATCCCACGTTACTTTAAGATGCAAAATAGAAACGGCTTCAACTCAGACCTTCCCTGAGTTGGGACAGGGATCTCTATTCCAGGTGGAGCCACGCAACAAGGAACGTCAGGCCTTCGTGTGTGAGTTAGCTCAGACCCCATTCCCATGCAGTGACAACCCAGGCGGGTCGAGGGGTCTCCTGAACCATTTCTCTGACGACACTGACTTCACTACTAGATTTTTTTTCTTTAACGTAATTTATTTCATTTTATTTTTTCCACTGCTAGATCTTTAAATCATTTCTGCAGCGCTGTCCTGTGTTGGAAAAGCTTCAAGCCTCTATAGAAAGTTGCCATGCCTAAGTATGGGGGAGGGTTTTGCACCTTCTATCAGGGAGCCCTCAAAGCAAAAGAATGCATGTAAGTGAGAAAAGTGTGCCACCTTCTGGTGTCGAGCGTCAGTGATTCAGCTCAAACACACCTCTCCCACCTGATCCTGTGTCTGCCCTTCTCTCCCCATGTGTTGTTACAACCAAAGGAAACATTTTTCTTTTATCACTAATTTGAATTTGAAATACTTGCAAAAAGATTTGGAAACACTGCATACTTTGCCTTAAGTAGGGTAAAAGTGTTTCCCTTTAGGGTGGGATTAATGAAAGAGTCTGTGAATCCAGTTCCATGGGGATTCCTGCTAGAAAGGTCCGGGTGGGCGGCTTAAATAAACGGCGTCCAGACAGAGGGACAAGGCTGGACGAAGACACTGCGGAGGAAGATCAGCCTATTCTACGAAAGCAAAGAATCTCGAGTCGAGGGTGAGGTGTGGAAGCAGGAAGCAAGGCAGTGAGCCTGGGAGAGGCAGTGAGATGATCAGAGCGTCGTGTGGCTCCTCGCAGCCCGGACGGACGGGGCGGAGTGGCAGAGACGAAGGCAGTGGGCAGGCAGGGCACACAATTAGGCGGGGCCGGCGGGGACCCGAAAGGGCACCGAGTTCATCTTCAAGGCAAGCGTGTAACTGGCTTCAAAAGGGACTGGCAAGGTGAAGTTAACATTGTAGCCTTCATGACTGCCGGGTCCTACCCGCTGGCTAAGTCTCAGCAACGCTCCTACGTGGTCCCTATTTGGAGACACCCCCAAAGGTGCGCGCCGCACACGAGACACACGTTAGCCACAGCATCAAAGCCAGTTTCCCCCCATTACGTGCACTTCCCTGTCCTCCGTGGCTCCCACCACCCCAGTTCCAACCAGGAAGCTGCCAAAGGGGGTGTTCGAAACCCAGAGACGGGGTTCTCGTCATGAGGCTCCCATTTCCTTCTGTCGCCTGCAGCCCTGATTTGTATGACATTTTAGGAAACGGATGAGAGGTCAGAATCGAGCCCAAAGGAGGTAGAGGATTCCAGTGAGATTTTTAAAGCAACCCTTATTATCCCCTGGGAAAAAGTTTTAAACATTCCATTTCCTTTAACTCAATTTCCTTTAACATGTTTTAATGTCAATATACGGCTCCAACAACAAAAACAAAAAAAAAAAACCACCACCACCCTATCAGGAACTCTCTACAAACGCCTCCAAACAAAATAAGCCTATTTATAAAACAAAAACAAAACACATGGCAAGTAATTTCAAAATCAAAAGTTCCTTGAATGACTACGCAAGAACACCAAGCCAGCCGGCCAGCGGCCGAGACCCTGGCCCTCGGCACAGCCGCTCAGGGGCTCTCGTCGCGCAGGTTGACCTTCACGGCGGAGCCGTCGCTGCTCAGCCTCACGGTGTCGCCGATGAGCGCCCGCATCGTGGCCACGTCACCACACAAGCGGCTCACCTTGGGGTACGCGAGGAGCCTTTCCAGCGGCACGTACAGCTTGTTCCCGAAGCAGAAAGGTCTGGGAGACTTCTCTATTCTCAGTTTCTCAAGTTCTGTGAAGACCGGTCCAGAAAATGTGACGAGCCCGGTGTCGCTGAGCCTGTGACCGTGTTCGTGGCCATTCCGCAGTATCCTCAGGCTCGACACGTATCTGTGCCTCAGGCTTTGCACTTGTCGAGACACCTCATTTGCCAATGCGAGTTTGCGGACCTCTTTTTGCTGTAAACTCGGGTAGGAGACTGAATAAACCTGAAAGGGGGCATGGGGGGGAGTGGGGGGGAACCATTTAGAATATAGGAAAATTTTCCAAACCATCAGCAGGACCTTTGTACCACGGGGATCAGTAACTGTATGTACAGGTTTCAAACCTGACTGATCGTAACGGCCACACCTATAACGGAGGCCGAGCTACGGACACACAGGGTCGAAAAGGAAAAGTGTTGCCCTGGCCGGTGTGGATCAGTGGTTAGAGCGTCGGCCCGAGCACCGCAGGGTCCCGGGTTCAATTCCCAGCCAAGGGCATGTACTTCGGTTGCAGGTTTGATCCCCAGCCCTGGTCAGGGCACGTGTGGGAGGCAACCAATCGATGTCTCTCTCAATGCCTCTCTCTCTCTCCCCCCCCCTTCCACTCTCTCTAAAAAGCAATGAGAAGAAAAGTGTTGCCAATTAAAAGAGAAATCTCTTTCTTCACCGAACCTCCTGAAACCAAAAGGGTCTGAGATGCTTGGAGGCTCAGTTCCGAGTCACTGAGCCCAGCTGTGAAACCTGCTGGCTCCCCCTTCCTGCCAAGGATCCTCACCCCTTACAGAAGGAGCGCTGCTGGCCCCAGCTGCTCAGAAGGCCATCGTGGCAAGAGGCCAGGAGGTCAGTCTCAAGGCTCCCGGGGTCAACCTCGTAATCAGGTCATTCCTTGTCTCTACAGTAGGGACTCCCCATGAGAAACAGTTCACTATCACAGTAAATGTATTTCTTGTCCCGACAGCTACCCCACGGGGAATACTCACAATCTTATAAACATGTCGATCACACTGCTCTGCAGCACCCGATCTGGTCGCCGGTGCTCCGATTTTCTGGAAGACCCCTATCTGGGTACAGTAGCCGACGTTCCCAGCTCCTTCTGGCGGCTCCCCGACCCCAGTAAACTCCACCGAGTAACCGTAGAAATTTGCCACACCTAAGGCCCTGAAATCAAAACAAGGAGAGAGGTCGTTTTTTTCTAAACTTAAGAGCTATTGTTAAATAGTCAGCAATGTCCAGTTGACTAGAACGTGAACAATACCACGAACAGAAAGACTCCTAAGCCGCAAGTTCTTAGGGCGCTGCACTAAGCCACGCCGTGGGGCCTGCTCACTTCTCTGAGGGGCACTAAGGCGCTGACTGCAAGTTTAATTAACCACAAGGACGTGGCGGAAAGGAAAGTCGTGGGGCGCAGTAGAGGAGGGACAATGACACCACAAGGGCTGCAACCCCAACTCCTATTTGGGTTTGGAATTATGCCGGGAACACGTCGAGCCCCTGGGAGATGCCCCTGGGCCAAGGCACCGCGCTCAGGGCCTCAGCTTCCCCAGCTCCGTTCCCGGATCTCCACACCAACAGCCCTGAAGCCTCCACGCCTGCTGGCACGCACCCGGCCCACACTTGCCTGAGACCTAAGAGAGAAAACAAACTTCCCCATTCATTTTACTAAGGGGCACTGTGGAAATCAACTTTACTGGAAGAAAGCAACTCATTTCAGTCATGTATAGGTAAAGACTTACTTGGCAGAATTTTTTTTTTTTAATTGATTTTTAGAGGAGAAGGGAGGGAGGGAGAGAGGGAAACATCAATGTGAGAGAGAGACATCCATCGGCTGCCTCTTGCACACGCCCTTAGGAGGAATCGAACCCGCAACCTTCCGGTGCACAGCACACAACAATGCTCCAACCAACTAAGCCACAGAATTACTTCACAGAATTTTAAACTTCAGTGAGGTCCCAAAAAAAACCAAAAACAAAACCCTTATGAACTCACCAAGTCTGAAACTGCTTCCTGTTCCACTCAAACTTGTGATCTGAATCTCTTAAGGTCACTGCCGGGAACAGGGGGTTGAAGTCAGAGTTTGGTGTGCTGATGACGATCATGGCTGGAGACAGGTACCCAAACACGACTTCGGGAAACCTGGCCAGGTCTTCTGAGTCCAGATGCTCTATTCTGAAATGGTTAGCGGGGGAGAGAGAGTAAAACCTAGCTTCACTTGCAGGTATTTTCCTAATTCATTTAGCAAAAATCCCATTTCTGTCTCCACACGGATTTCTCCCGTCTCTGAAGATGTGACAGTGACCTCAAACGGTCTCACCCTTCCCTTCGCCCGTTCCAGATGGGGCCAGACGGTAGCAAGCCAGTCCCAACTGACTACCAGTTTTCTCGACCGATAACAATTAAGATTATATTTAGGAAACAAAGTGTACTGAGACTAATTCGGTGAGGCTTTTCTAATGAATGTGTACAGAAGAAATCTATTTAATACTTACAACTCAATACAGGCCACTAAGTCAAATCCAAGCAAACGAGAGTCCCTCTCGACAACGGAGCCGTGGTACAAGGTGATAGACAAATTCAGATCCCGGGGACTTAGATACTCCCCAGAGAACGGAGACAGTCTACACCTGCAGAAGCGTTATTGGAGACGTCAGGGCATTTGAACACAGCTGTTTAGAATGATCCCAACTACAGGCACCAGGTCATAGAGTAACTTCCTCTCGTGGGGAGGTCACTGGCCAGTAAGAGCAAGATTCTGAATATTTGATATTGCTCTCGTTTTCAATACTTCTGGTCTCCCGGCTCACTTTGGATCAATGATTTTCAATTTATTTTTTTTTTCTTTAAAAGAAAAACGCTCTTGAAACAATCTATGGAAGTCTAATAATATATAGGATATGGGAGAGCTGCTCTGTTTCAAACTGGAGGTGGTGGTCCGGGGCTCCATTGTCACCAGGGCGTCCAGCACCAACGTAATTAGATTCTTGCCCTTTGAAATTGAATTTGCAATGCTCTGACTACCATAATTGCTTAATTGAGGCTCTACTTTCTACACTGGTAGAAAACAGGTATTCACGTCGCACACAGCTACTTAGTTTGACGGCGCAGTCGTTCGTCAGTGAGCCCAAGGCTCTCTTAGTGTGTAACGGGCAACACACTTCCACGTTTCACGTGCTTTACACGTTGCATAAAACGGACAGTGCCTCCAAGCCTAGTTAACCATGCCGCTAGTTTTAGATTAGCGCACAATCCTTCCAGAAACTAGGTATTACCTTTGCGATCCTATTTTATCTATATTGATGTCTACTCCAACAATCAGTTCCAGGCAACTGTGTGACTTAATCATCTGTATGAGGGAAGCATTGCCACACCCCAAGTCTGCAACCTGTAGATGAGACGAAAGCTGTTTCAAAGACCTTTATAGCCAGAGAAGCCAAGTGTGATCAAAGGCTTTTTTTTTTTTTTTTTTT